CGAGCAACACTCGGGAATACAGCATAGGACTTGCCTTGCCTGCGATCCCCGCTGTGTCCTCAGACTGCCGACTTCCGGGTTTCCATCTCTTGCGAGCGGCCGCGTCGCACAGGGGCGGAACCGGCGAGAAGTTTGAAAGTTTAAAAAAAAAAAACCCGAAAATAAAGAGAGAAAATAAAGGAAAATAAATAAATAATTCGTACCTCCAGCGAGGTATAAAAACGAGCGACAAAGGCGCGTTTCACTGAACAAAAAAACGCGCCTTTAAGGTATGCCCAGGTGTGAGTCCAGCCTCAGGCCCCGTTCACATCGAGCGATTGGCAAATCACGCGCGATCTGCAGTTTGCGCGATATCGTGCAAATGCTTGCATCAAAAAACCATCGAATCGCGGCAAAATCCGCTCCAAAAAGGGTCCTGCTGTAGCGACGCACGACCCGCGACAGCAGGACCCTTTGCCCCATTGCAAAGCATTGAAGAGCGATATCGCGCGGTAAATAGCCGCGATATCGCGGAAATTATCCGCGTGATAAATCGCTCAGTGTGAACGGGGCCTCAGAGCTGAGCTACAATGTGTCCCTATGAGTAGCGGGATCTCCAACAGGCCGCTTTCTTCTCCTCCTATTAGAGCAGAGCTGAACCATGAAAGGATAGAATTGCTGGTAGGTAGGATTGTATAGAAGGAGAGAGCTCCATTGTAACCATCAAAGAGAGAAGATGGCGGCGGTGGCGGTATCATGGATGGAGCGACGAGGGCGAGTCCCGCCCTCAGAGCTGGAGGAGTGCAGACCGGTTAGTAAGGCGCCATGAAGGCCGTGACACACTGCGCGCGGAGCGGTGGCGCGCTGCCTTTGCGAGCAGTGTGTCATGTAATTTTCTGCTCGGCACCTCAGCTGGCGAGAGCTCGCGGAGCTGAGCGTGCCGAGATGAACAATTTCAACTTCAGCCAATCGGCTCGCGCGTCTAAACCAGCGCGTCGCGATGCGACAGCTGGCAGGTTGTTACGGACGAAGTAATTTGTACACAGGGTATGGTCCTTACCGGGCTTAGGGATCAAGGAGATGTGCGCCTCCAGTGATTGAGTAGGGAAGGAGGTGCCATGTGCGATAGAATTAAACACCCGTAGGAGGAAGGGAGTCAAACACTACCATACCATATATGTGGTGAGTCTCTAGGGTCGTCAATTCTTGGATGGCCTCTCGAATGCAACAAGACCGTTCCCTTTTCAGTCTAGTGCCTTGCTGGATAAAAAGCCCACGCAGTACCGCCTTCAGTGCCTCCCACTGAAGAGGTAGGGGGTTAGTATCCAGTGCATGGATCTCAAGGAAATGAGTGATCCCGTTTGTGATGGCCGATGAACATTGCGGGTCGGCAAGCAGGGAGTCGTTCAATCGCCAGGTCCATTCCCTAGTCTGGGCCTGAGGTACCCTTAGTGTGAGTATTACCGCTGCATGATTGGACCACATCATGGGGCCAATGTCACAGTCAGGGGTCCAGTCAAGTATGTGGTGTGAGGTAAAAAAGTAGTCCAATCTGCTGTAGGAGTGGTGGGGTGTGGAGCATACAGGTCTTACCTTGCCTGCGATCCCCGCTGTGTCCTCAGACTGCCGACTTCCGGGTTTCCATCTCTTGCGAGCGGCCGCGTCGCACAGGGGCGGAACCGGCGAGAAGTTTGAAAGTTTAAAAAAAAAAAACCCGAAAATAAAGAGAGAAAATAAAGGAAAATAAATAAATAATTCGTACCTCCAGCGAGGTATAAAAACGAGCGACAAAGGCGCGTTTCACTGAACAAAAAAACGCGCCTTTAAGGTATGCCCAGGTGTGAGTCCAGCCTCAGGCCCCGTTCACATCGAGCGATTGGCAAATCACGCGCGATCTGCAGTTTGCGCGATATCGTGCAAATGCTTGCATCAAAAAACCATCGAATCGCGGCAAAATCCGCTCCAAAAAGGGTCCTGCTGTAGCGACGCACGACCCGCGACAGCAGGACCCTTTGCCCCATTGCAAAGCATTGAAGAGCGATATCGCGCGGTAAATAGCCGCGATATCGCGGAAATTATCCGCGTGATAAATCGCTCAGTGTGAACGGGGCCTCAGAGCTGAGCTACAATGTGTCCCTATGAGTAGCGGGATCTCCAACAGGCCGCTTTCTTCTCCTCCTATTAGAGCAGAGCTGAACCATGAAAGGATAGAATTGCTGGTAGGTAGGATTGTATAGAAGGAGAGAGCTCCATTGTAACCATCAAAGAGAGAAGATGGCGGCGGTGGCGGTATCATGGATGGAGCGACGAGGGCGAGTCCCGCCCTCAGAGCTGGAGGAGTGCAGACCGGTTAGTAAGGCGCCATGAAGGCCGTGACACACTGCGCGCGGAGCGGTGGCGCGCTGCCTTTGCGAGCAGTGTGTCATGTAATTTTCTGCTCGGCACCTCAGCTGGCGAGAGCTCGCGGAGCTGAGCGTGCCGAGATGAACAATTTCAACTTCAGCCAATCGGCTCGCGCGTCTAAACCAGCGCGTCGCGATGCGACAGCTGGCAGGTTGTTACGGACGAGCCGATTGGCTGACGGTGCTGTCAATCATCTGCCTGCACTCAGCTCACACACTGCACGCAAAGCTCCGTGCCGGGCAGCTTTGCTTCGCTCTGCGCGGCTTCGCGTGCAGTGTGTCACGGCCTTCATGTGCAGGGGTGCGATGCGCAGAGATCAGAGCAAATGCTCCAGCCAATCACTGCAGCTTTTCTTCTGTCTCGGGGCCCATTATTATTATTACATAGTATTTATATGGCGCCAACAGTGTGCGCAGCGCTGTACAATGTAAGGAAGACATTACAATCACAATACAATTCCAGACAAGATGGTAAGGAGGGCCCGGCCCCTGAGGGCTTACAATCTAAAAGGGGAGGGGCCAGTGATACAGGAGGAGGGAGCTGTGTGGGGATGAATTGTTTGAGAATGCCCACTTTCAGATCATCTCCAGACCACATTGTTTCCGGACCCAAAATGCACCCCAATGTATCCCCGTGCTATTTCTGGCCTCTGTTCACACCAGCGCAGTCCGTTCCAGACCAGAAAAATACTGCGCGTCTCATTATGTCTGGTCTGGAACGCACTGGAACTGCGGGCGGGTTCACACCATTTTCCAGGTCAGATCGGGACAGCGCTAGTTTGTGTCCTCCCGTTACCCTAAGGAGAACTATGGGGGAAAAGCACTGACCCCAGAGTTCTCCTTTAAGGAGGAACTAAAGACCATGTTCTGTGGGCTCATTAGCGGCGTTCAGGCCTGGGGATTGGCCACTCCTACCCCAGCACTGCATGCTATGAGGAGGTCATGTGCTCCCCCCATACCGGGGATCACCACATAGTCACAGAAGGTCCGGCGGGGCTGCGGGGGAATGTGGTGAAGGGAAATATAAGGGGGGGTGTAGGGATGAGTACCTTCTACTTTTCCCGGAAGGGGTTTGATGTCGCTGTGTGATTGTAGGCGGCAGCCTGCTGCGTCCTCTATCCAGGGATGAAATTGTGGGCGGTGCAGATCCCTGAGGCCGGTCCTTGTGCTCGGCGTAGTCCGCGGGGGACTCGGGAAAGGCTCCTCTCACGCTTGCGTCGCGTCTTTTCCTCGTGAGAATCTTGCTCCGGGAGGAGGAGAAGTGCGCGGCTTGCGTGTTACTCACTGCGCGTTGTCTGCTGTCTTCCCTCCAGCAATGTATGCTGTGCAGTGACACCGAGAACTATTGTGGCCCCTCCGGGCCCCCGGACAGCGGAGGTATCAGGGACATCGACTTTGTCCTTTATGTCAGTGCCATCATCACGGAGAGGTGCAGCCAGGAAAACATTGTCGCTTACGCAGCATATTGCCAACTGGAAGCCGAGATGGACAGGTAAGAACCCTGAGGGGACTCCAGGGACCAGCAATACAGATGACACTGAGGGGACTCCAGGGACCAGCAATACAGAGGACACTGAGGTCAGTCCAGGGACCAGCAATACAGAGGACACTGAGGGGACTCCAGGCACCAGCAATACAGAGGACACTGAGGTCAGTCCAGGGACCAGCAATACAGAGGACACTGAGGGGACTCCAGGGACCAGCAATACAGATGACACTGAGGTCAGTCCTGGGACCAGCAATACAGATGACACTGAGGGGACTCCAGGGACCAGCAATACAGGTGACACTGAGGTCAGTCCTAATTTCACACCACATGACATTGTCTTGCTGTCCTCACCTCTGTCACTGATGTATTTCCCCTGTTAGGCCCATAGCGGGATATGCAAACCTCTGTCCCAACATGATCTCCACCCAGCCCCAGGAGTACACCGGAATGTTCTCTACAGTGAAGCACGAAATTATTCACGCCCTGGTACGTTATCACCCCGGCCGGCTCACATCACCGGGTGCCATGTTATAGTGTGTGTGTTATCTCCCCATTACCTCCTTCAGCCTGTGCTGTGTTTATATATCCAGCAGCTCAGTCTCCCGGGTATATTATACTACAAGCAGCTCAGTCTCCCGGGTATATTATACTACAAGCAGCTCAGCCTCCCGGGTATATTATACTACAAGCGGCTCAGCCTCCCGGGTATAGATATATAATACCTAGAAGCAGCTCAGCCTCCCGGGTATATAATACTACAAGCAGCTCAGCCTCCCGGGTATAGATATATAATACCTAGAAGCAGCTCAGCCTCCCGGGTATATAATACTACAAGCAGCTCAGCCTCCCGGGTATAGATATATAATACCTAGAAGCAGCTCAGCCTCCCGGGTATATAATACTACAAGCAGCTCAGCCTCCCGGGTATAGATATATAATACCTAGAAGCAGCTCAGCCTCCCGGGTATATAATACTACAAGCAGCTCAGCCTCCCGGGTATAGATATATAATACCTAGAAGCAGCTCAGCCTCCCGGGTATATAATACTACAAGCAGCTCAGCCTCCCGGGTATAGATATATAATACCTAGAAGCAGCTCAGCCTCCCGGGTATATAATACTACAAGCAGCTCAGCCTCCCGGGTATAGATATATAATACCTAGAAGCAGCTCAGCCTCCCGGGTATATAATACTACAAGCAGCTCAGCCTCCCGGGTATAGATATATAATACCTAGAAGCAGCTCAGCCTCCCGGGTATATAATACTACAAGCAGCTCAGCCTCCCGGGTATAGATATATAATACCTAGAAGCAGCTCAGCCTCCCGGGTATATAATACTACAAGCAGCTCAGCCTCCCGGGTATAGATATATAATACCTAGAAGCAGCTCAGCCTCCCGGGTATATAATACTACAAGCAGCTCAGCCTCCCGGGTATAGATATATAATACCTAGAAGCAGCTCAGCCTCCCGGGTATATAATACTACAAGCAGCTCAGCCTCCCGGGTATAGATATATAATACCTAGAAGCAGCTCAGCCTCCCGGGTATATAATACTACAAGCAGCTCAGCCTCCCGGGTATAGATATATAATACCTAGAAGCAGCTCAGCCTCCCGGGTATATAATACTACAAGCAGCTCAGCCTCCCGGGTATAGATATATAATACCTAGAAGCAGCTCAGCCTCCCGGGTATATAATACTACAAGCAGCTCAGCCTCCCGGGTATAGATATATAATACCTAGAAGCAGCTCAGCCTCCCGGGTATATAATACTACAAGCAGCTCAGCCTCCCGGGTATAGATATATAATACCTAGAAGCAGCTCAGCCTCCCGGGTATATAATACTACAAGCAGCTCAGCCTCCCGGGTATAGATATATAATACCTAGAAGCAGCTCAGCCTCCCGGGTATATAATACTACAAGCAGCTCAGCCTCCCGGGTATAGATATATAATACCTAGAAGCAGCTCAGCCTCCCGGGTATATAATACTACAAGCAGCTCAGCCTCCCGGGTATAGATATATAATACCTAGAAGCAGCTCAGCCTCCCGGGTATATAATACTACAAGCAGCTCAGCCTCCCGGGTATAGATATATAATACCTAGAAGCAGCTCAGCCTCCCGGGTATATAATACTACAAGCAGCTCAGCCTCCCGGGTATAGATATATAATACCTAGAAGCAGCTCAGCCTCCCGGGTATATAATACTACAAGCAGCTCAGCCTCCCGGGTATAGATATATAATACCTAGAAGCAGCTCAGCCTCCCGGGTATATAATACTACAAGCAGCTCAGCCTCCCGGGTATAGATATATAATACCTAGAAGCAGCTCAGCCTCCCGGGTATATAATACTACAAGCAGCTCAGCCTCCCGGGTATAGATATATAATACCTAGAAGCAGCTCAGCCTCCCGGGTATATAATACTACAAGCAGCTCAGCCTCCCGGGTATAGATATATAATACCTAGAAGCAGCTCAGCCTCCCGGGTATATAATACTACAAGCAGCTCAGCCTCCCGGGTATAGATATATAATACCTAGAAGCAGCTCAGCCTCCCGGGTATATAATACTACAAGCAGCTCAGCCTCCCGGGTATAGATATATAATACCTAGAAGCAGCTCAGCCTCCCGGGTATATAATACTACAAGCAGCTCAGCCTCCCGGGTATAGATATATAATACCTAGAAGCAGCTCAGCCTCCCGGGTATATAATACTACAAGCAGCTCAGCCTCCCGGGTATAGATATATAATACCTAGAAGCAGCTCAGCCTCCCGGGTATATAATACTACAAGCAGCTCAGCCTCCCGGGTATAGATATATAATACCTAGAAGCAGCTCAGCCTCCCGGGTATATAATACTACAAGCAGCTCAGCCTCCCGGGTATAGATATATAATACCTAGAAGCAGCTCAGCCTCCCGGGTATATAATACTACAAGCAGCTCAGCCTCCCGGGTATAGATATATAATACCTAGAAGCAGCTCAGCCTCCCGGGTATATAATACTACAAGCAGCTCAGCCTCCCGGGTATAGATATATAATACCTAGAAGCAGCTCAGCCTCCCGGGTATATAATACTACAAGCAGCTCAGCCTCCCGGGTATAGATATATAATACCTAGAAGCAGCTCAGCCTCCCGGGTATATAATACTACAAGCAGCTCAGCCTCCCGGGTATAGATATATAATACCTAGAAGCAGCTCAGCCTCCCGGGTATATAATACTACAAGCAGCTCAGCCTCCCGGGTATAGATATATAATACCTAGAAGCAGCTCAGCCTCCCGGGTATATAATACTACAAGCAGCTCAGCCTCCCGGGTATAGATATATAATACCTAGAAGCAGCTCAGCCTCCCGGGTATATAATACTACAAGCAGCTCAGCCTCCCGGGTATAGATATATAACGGCTCCCGCACATCTGTGGCTCTCCAGGGATTCTCCGCCGGGCTCTTCGCGTTATATCGGGATGATAACGGCGATCCTCTGACCCCGAGGTACCTGAATGGGCTCCCGCTCTTCAATGACAGGTGAGATCCAGGCGGGTGAGGGGCCGTGATCTGTGCGCACCGGGGGGGGCCCCACGTTCACATTCTGTCTCCGCAGCCTGGGGGTGTATCAGTGGAGCCATCGCGTTGTCCGCGCTGTGACCCGGAACTGGGACGTCAGCGGCACCAACATCATCCAACACAAAGTCTTCCTGCTGGTCACTCCCCGTGTCACGGTGAGTCTCTGGAGTGCATATCGGTGCAATGCGTGTGCGTGTGTGCGTATGGGGGGGTCACATGGTACAGACCTGGGAATCTGGCTTAGTGACACATATGACATTGTAGTGACCGTGTAATATAACTGGTGTCCTATCAAAGTTCGTGACTGCGTCCAGAATGTGTGACCGGTGACGTGGTCACACATTTTAACATAATCCCGCCCAGTTTTTCGGCGGCGGAATGTGTGACCGGTCACGTGGTCACACATTCTAACGTAGTCACGCCTATTTTTTTCCGGGGTTATAATATGTGACCGGCAATAAGTGTAGAATTCAAAGCTTTTTCAGCTGTTCCAGGGCAGATCGGCATCGCAGATGGTATGTGCAGGAGAACCGATCTGACAGCTGATCGGTCCTGAAATGTCACTTCTATCTGACTTTGTGGAATGTGAGATCGCAGTCACAAAGTCGGATAGAAGTGACATTTCAGGACCGATCAGCTGTCAGATCGGTTCTCCTGCACATACCATCTGCGATGCCGATCTGCCCTGGAACAGCTGAAAAAGCTTTGAATCCTACGCTTTTTGCCGGTCACATATTATAACCCCGGAAAAAAATGGGCGTGACTTTAAAATGTGTGACCACGTGAGCGGTCACACATTCCAACCCAGTCACAATCTTTGATAGAACACCTGCCCGTCTTCAGGTTAAAGGATAAGTGCGCTTTAAAACAGAACGCATTATCCTTTTATTCCCCTGACCCAACCCAACCTTCCCCTTCACGGATCCAATGTCTGCGGTTCTGCTCTTTCCATACATCCAGCGGTGCAAATCTTCACCGCCCCTCCCCCCTGTGCATTCCATCTCCTCTGGCCTCAGCCTGCCCTCTACTGGACTGGCTGAGGCCAGAGATGGACACATAGACGTTTATGGGGCTGTAAGGCGCAATCCTTTAACCGGTTTTCCAGCTTGAACTCTGACCCCCCTAATAGCCTCTCACCGGCCCGCTCTGCTCTTCCTGCCTAACGACTAAGACTTCTATAATCCACGTCCATCACATAGAACAACTGAGATCCGAAATACAACTTTTGAAGGCCGCTCTCTGTCATCAGGGGCATTCCTGGGGGCCCCTGGAGTATTCTGAAGAGTATGCAAAGGATGAGAGCGCCACAAACCTGGAGTGAGTCCAATAAAACTTTATTCAATATGGTCCAGTATCCCATAATTGTCAGTGATGAAGGGAGTTCTGGTCATAAAAAATAATGTTTTACTGGACCCCCCCTCAAGATTTGTGGCGCGTTCATCTTTCCAAGGGGTATGGGATAAGGAGTGCGGCGGGACATCCTCGTTAACCCTCCAGATTTGGGCACTTACATACTTTGCACGCTATCCTAAAATGAGGAATTTACACGAGACACCTTCTATTTTTAGAGGTCTCTACATTCTTCCTAGAATAATGTCATTATTTGTAGGGATGCGCCGATACCACTGCCCGATACCACTGCCCGATACCACTGCCCGATACCACTGCCCGATACCACTGCCGATACTTGGCATGTTCATGAGAACTCCCAGGGTTGTAGCTGGGACCGGGCTCTCCACCACCGTCCTGAAATCATTAGTCTGTATTGTTTTAGAAAAACTGTCACATGACAATAAACAAAAATGCTTCAGTACTTATAGAAGTGGTATCGGTGCGTCCCTTTAGACCCCGTTCACATTTGAGCGATTTATCGCGATATCGCGGCGAATTACCGCGCGATATCGCGCTCCAATGCAATCCAATGGGGCAAAGGGTCCTGCTGCCGCGGGTCGCGCGTCGCTACAGCAGGACCCTTTTTTGAGCGGATTTAGCCGCGATTCAAGCTGGCTCAATGCAAGCTTGAACGCGACGTCGGGCAATATGCATATCGCGCAGTGGGAACGGGGCCTAATATATACCGGATTTTGCGCTCCATAACACGCACCTGACCATAAGACACGTGCAGTTCCTGACAGCTGACACATGTGGCGCTGTGATTAGGGTCTCGGTGATCACACAGAGCAGACAAAGAACCGACGTTCTTCGTCTGCTCTATGGTGAGCTCCAGAGGAGCGGGGGACCCCGAAAACCGCAGGGGGGGGGGGAGGGCGGACAGGATCGCCGCTGCTCCTTTCATAAAAGTGATCTGATCAGATGACTTGGATGAAAACGAGCGGCGGCTCCACACTGTACTAGAGCTGCAGCTAACGATTATTTTCAAAATCGATTAGTTAGCCAATTATTAAGTTCGATTAATCGGATAAACAATTAAATAAAGTTTAAAAAATGGCTCCAGTGATAGAACTACTAGTTTGTAAGTTCAGCTCCGCTTGTCAGGAGCCGGGCTAAATGTACAAAAAAAAAACTACTCGCCCGGCGCCCGAAACTGCATCTCCCGTGCGTCGGGCGATAGGGATTCGCTCCATGAGACGCACAGACAATTTGCCCGCCTTTTGGTGAAAAATACGATATTTATAAAAACAAAATCGTACATTAAAACCGAGATGTACAAATCCCAGGAGCTCCGCGCGCTCCCTACACGTGACAGCCGCCTCCTAACTTTTTAATTTTCCTCTAGTCCAGTCATGGATCCGGATAAGTATCTGTACTTGGTATCTGTACTTGGTATCTGTACTTGGTATCTGTACTTGGTATCGGTACTTGGTATCGGTACTTGGTATCGGTACTTGGTATCGGTACTTGGTATCGGTACTTCCTTAATTATTTTCCTTGTATAGCATTTACAAGTTCATATATTCACACATGAGAAGTGACCATTGCATACGGTGTAAATGGAGCTTTGCACATTTTCTGTTCCATGTTCCTGCGCATAGGACGAGGTCCGCAAACATTTTAACTGCCCGACCCTAGAAGGGATGGAGCTGGAGAACCAGGATGTACTTGGTATCTGTACTTGGTATCTGTACTTGGTATCGGTACTTGGTATCGGTACTTGGTATCGGTACTTGGTATCGGTACTTGGTATCGGTACATCCCTAATTATTTTCCTTGTATAGCATTTACAAGTTCATATATTCACACATGAGAAGTGACCATTGCATACGGTGTAAATGGAGCTTTGCACATTTTCTGTTCCATGTTCCTGCGCATAGGACGAGGTCCGCAAACATTTTAACTGCCCGACCCTAGAAGGGATGGAGCTGGAGAACCAGGGGGGGATGGGCACTGAGCTGAACCACTGGGAGAAGAGGCTGCTGGAGGTAACGTAGAACGATTCCAGATTATTTCTCATCTGCTCCTGCCATAGGCTGTCTCCTCACTAACCCCCGCCCCCTTTTCTGGCCCGCAGAATGAAGCCATGACGGGTTCCCACACCCAGAACCGGGTGTTTTCCAGGATAACTCTGGCGCTGATGGAGGACACGGGGTAAGTCGAATATAATGTCGGCAGGTATACACTGAGTGGGCAGATTATTATGATCCCGCCCCCATCAGTACTTGGTTGGGCCGCCTGGTGACTCCACGAGATGGTGAAAGGTGATGCGAGGAATCTGACACGGCACTGTTGCCCTTCTGTTGTCATAAGAGGTGACAATCTGCGCAGTGCTGACCATGTCTCTGTCCTGAATCTTTATTAGCCCCTCGGGAGAGATTCGGGAAGTGGCAGCAGATTATTTGTATTACTAGAAGGATTTCTTGCTGACAAGGAGCCCTCCAGATGTATGTTATGTATTGTTATGTATGTATTGTTATGTATGTATTGTTATGTATGTATTGTTATGTATGTATGTTATGTATGTATGTTATGTATGTATGTTATGTATGTATGTTATGTATGTATGTTATGTATGTATGTTATGTATGTATGTTATGTATGTATGTTATGTATGTATGTTATGTATGTATGTTATGTATGTATGTTATGTAT